AGAGGCTATACTGTATACATGTACAATACATTAAGTGCATGTACAGTTAGGTCTTACATGTTAGTATGAGTGCTTTATCTGGTCTTATGGTCAGCCATGGTTTAGATATCCTGTCCTGTTTGTCAGGGGTTGGTTTGAACCCCAGCTACCCTGGACGGTGACCAATGTTACGAACTTTAAGTACCTGTGTCTGCTCTACCATGAACTTAACCTTCTCAAACTTAAACTAAAGGAGAGAGAGTGGAGTATTCTAATTAATGCACATCTATTAATTAATTTAGTGAGCGATAATTATGCTCAATACAACAGATTAATACGACAATACACATTAACATTAATATTTCCGAAAAAATTGGTCGTACAAAAGTTATTTATTAATTAACTTAAAATCAAGCAATCTGATTGGTCAATTATAACTAGGCATGGTAGATTTATTAATATTATTATTATTATTATTAATTTACTTCGTAAGAGTTCAGTTCCACTTGTGGTAGTGTCTCGTTGTACTGTTTGTCCAGTTTAAAGGAAATCTCATCAATGGTCTGCTTCTCTCTGTCAGGAACAACTACTTTCACCTAATGAGGGGAGGAGGAGGAGGTGATAAATACAACAATTAATAAAACATGTACATGTACTATTAATTGTATGTTGTATATTGATAACAGAGTATAAAGGGATTGGAAACTGCGTGGGCGGCCTGTATAAACCAATGGAGGGCAAAGTTATCACTTCCCACATCCTAGTTTCTCCTTAGCAACGGGAGAGGTCCACTTTTCTCTGTTCATAACTTAGTGCCAGTAGTTGCAAAAAATCAACAAAAATATGCATAAAATATGCATACATGTACATGTTAGTATGACCTGTGTTTTATCACGATTATCAATCATCCAACAACACATGTCCTCAAAGTTGTGATTAAATGTAGCTTTAACGTACACCTCATTCCCATTAATTAACAACTTCAGGTATGGCCACTGTAAGGAAGAACAGACAACCAGACAATGTGGCTATGGACCTCTAGTGTGGTTCCACTATCACCACGAGGCTTTGTGGTTAATGATTCAATGATCATAAATTAATATAACTACTATAGAACATGTGAACAATGTTTTTCCTTATTGAAAACTTCACAACATGATAGGCTACATGAGCATAGTATGAAAAATATTTAACCCTAACTGTTCAAGTATTAAGTATACAGTAAGCGCTTCATGCATGCATGATATCAAAGTTAATTGGGCACTGATCTCTACTGTACATGTTGCTAAATTCATACTAAGTGGTACATTCTTTAACTTGAAAATATTAGTTTCCATGTACTATTGTACCATAGCCGGTTTATTATGGCAAATGGCTATCAAAATGCCAAATTCGCCACATTTATTACCCACCTTACGGTATGTAGAGTACTTGTACATGTACCTGGAGTTCAAAGGTGGCACTGACTGGTTTATGGTCACTGATGATCATCTCCGGGTGAGAGAGGTAGGAGAGGTTCTTAATGTAACTCATATCATCACAATAATAGAGAATCTTGTCACACTAGGCAGGGGCTCTGTTCTTCTCTGAGAAGTCCCAACTATTAGTGGATGGGTCAAACTTGTACGTTGGTTTGAAATCAATGGGAGGTTCTTTAAAGTGAGTGAATGCCTCTCCTCTCCTCTGCTGCTGCTGGAGCTGATTGTGCTGGAGCAACTTATTGAACTGGTAGAGATCAGCCAGTGCCTTTATGATCTCAGTACTGAAATCAACTGAAGTCTGATGGATACGATAATTAAGCTCACCCATCCATATGATGAAACTAATTAATAATAATAATAATAATAATATTAATTGTGGAGGCATGGCTTACTTATGATCCATTATTCTATAAGAAAGTTCCGAGTCTTTAAAGAAACTGATTTTATCATAAATATCGTGATAATTCTAAAAATAAATAAAATAGTAAATAATTAAATAAATACATGTACATGTACACAGTACTCACCTGGTTCCTTTTCTCTACCTCATCAATGTGTGCCACCAGGTGAGTATTAACAATACACACTGAAGAATGGTATATGTTGAATCTGATAGCCACACCTCCTTTATTACCCTGTAAACCACACCCAACAATTAATAAATGTATAAATTATGAATAACATGTACATGCACTTAAGTTGTGTAGAAGTTTGCTAGATCCTTGACAAATTTTTAAAGTTGAAATCAGACAAAAGTCCATGTACACATGGTCTTGGGCCAAAATTCTCCAAAAATGAAAAGTAAAGAATTACATTTTCTGATGCATATACATGTTCTTATGTTGCATAGAAAGTTTAAGCTGATTTTGATCAATTTTGAATTTTTTTACAAATTTTTAAAGTTGCTCAAAAGTAAGATTAGATCTACATACTGTTTAATGGATGGAATGGGAGCATGTACTGTATGTGTGAATGTATCATTAACTCACAAAGTGTCCTCCTACTAGTCCACAAGGTACATAGTTACAGTCCACACTGGACACATGAGGGACCAGCTCCTCCTTCACATACACTAACAATAGTATACTTACCAACCTCACCACTGATATCTGGAGGAGGGGAAGAGGGAGGGAGAATGGGAGTGAGAATTGTACATGTACGACAACTATACATGTACATGTATACATGATCGAAACATGCATAATGTATAATGTACATGTACATTCATCTGAATTTCAATTCGACCAATCATTATGGCTTATAATGTAAGAATATGTTACTGTATACTACTGTATAGTGGAGGCTATTCTTTTACTTTCTTGAATTTCCCGGCCATTTAGAGATGACTCCACCAGATCAATCCAGGGCTCTTCTCAACTGGTTTCATTCCTTAGCAATGCCTCAGGACTGAGATCCAACTCTTGAAAACTATTAATAAATAAATAAACAAATAAATTAATAAATTAATAAATACAGTAAATAATGATGAGATTGTACGTTTACCCAATAGCGAATATGTCCGGTATTGTTTCCTGATACACGAGCCACTTGTCCACTCTCTGTATAGGATACTGACCATTGACATTCCAAGTACCACAAAATAAACTAAAAATAATAATAATAATATAATTATATTATAATTGAACAACTGGAATTAAATTCAATACATAGCCGGTAATATTAATCAATGTATTTTCAAAGTTGCTACAAAATGGAAAAATCCATGGGATATAATAGCCTTGGGTATTTTTCAAAAATTGCCTTATTTTTTTAAAATGACCGTAACTTGTTGGAATCTGCTCAAACTTTCTACACAGCACAAGGACATCAATATGTATCAGAAAATGTAATAAAAATTTTGAGTGATTTTGAAGCCATTTTTTGGAAAAATTCATGGGCTATAGCATTGGATATTTTTTCAAATTTTGCCATTTTCTTAAAATGGCTGTAACTTGAAAAATTTAAGTTGGAATTAGCTCAAACTTTTCTACACAGCATAAGGACATCAATATGTATCAGAAAATGCAACAAAAATTTTGAGTGATTTTGGAGCCATTTTTTGGAAAAATCCATGGGCTATAGCCTTGGGTATTTTTCCAAATTTTGCCATTTTTTTAAAATGGCCATAACTTAAACAACATTTATACCTAGAGAGAACGACACGAAACAGCTAATTAATAATCAATTAAAATAAAAATACAGTTATTGCTAAGTCAATGTTTACATAATTTATGACCTTTGTAGCAGAAAATTGACTTTAAAAAAAACAATATTATTTAATGAATCGTCAGTTTCACTTAAAATGAGTCATAAGGTTAATAAATTGTTGTATAGTGTTATTATGCCATCACCAAAAATCATCAAATTGTCTGTTTCAGTACCCAGAGAATGAAAACATAATTAATTGAAATAAACATACTTTAAATGAAATAATTAATAATAAATGCAGTAAATGAGATAACGAATGATCGATCATACATGTATGATAATTTAAAACATTAGCAGGAAAAACTTTGAGTGGTGGGATATAACAACATCAAGGTCAAAGTTATGTACATGCAGAATGCATGCATGTACACATGTACCGTACATACCGGTAATTATTTTAGGAGAATAACTAACATGTACATCATGTACTGTAGATGCTTGTACAATGCTCAACATACTATGATGATGAACATTTGACATCTGACAAAATATTGCCAGATGTGAGAAGACACCACAGAGGGTGTGACAATCAAGGAACCTTACAAGAGCTTCACATGAATGAAATGCATTAGTGGGTGATCATGAGTATTCAAGAGCTATACATGTGAAATAACTTAAAGGTCAAAGCAGAAATGTGCAGCAATATTAATAATTTTATTTTTAGGTGCATTAAAAGTAT